AGTGGTGAGCAGGATTTTAACCCAGACCCTCAAATAACGTTATCCATTTGAGATGGGGCGAATTACAAGTAGGCATTGTACCCTCCGATGGTTTTCTGCATTCCTCTCATTGTTCAAGGCCTCAGGGAGGGAAGATGGAGTTTTCATCCTTTCCCTGCCCAGTGAGGCTCATGTATGTGCTTCTGACACACTGCAGGAATGCCCCTCCAAGAAGGGACCCTGCCTCAGACCCCGCCCCTTACTCCACGTCCCTGAGTACCTTGTGTACATGTCTGCTGCCCTTACTAGCATGACCACAACGACTTCGTGTGTGCTTCTCTCACCAGGCCAGGAACTGGTGTAGGACCCCAGGGCCTAGTCTTGGGCCTGTCCTCGGAGATGTGCTAGATAGTTTCTGGTTGAAGAAATGATTTCTCTTGGTGGCCTACTCTATCCTATTCTCTCAGTAAAACATCATCATAATAATAGTTACTGTGGCAGGCATGCACTGAGCACATCTCCATCCTGACTTGGTTACTTTCTGCTGCGTAGTTACACCCATTTGGCTGATGAGAAACCCGCAGGCTTCCCCAGGATCACACAGACTTTGAGTTAAAGAGACATGATCCACGCCCAGTTTCAGTGGTCACCAAGTTCTTCACAGGACACCTCCCAGGACTTAAACAACCATCCCTGCTGTGAGCCTTCCAACATTAACAAGCCTCTGCTGTGTCCCTAACTCTGGCCCCCAGTTTTGACCTCGCTAGGGCCTGACTGTACTCTAAATACTTATATCTGTGTTCTCTCCCGCATAAGACTGCAGTCTCTCGCTAGCTCTTCACATAGCTCATTGTCCCAGTCTTTGCATGCTCTTAAGAACTTGGAATAAAAATATTAAGTCCACCGCACTACTATTACAGAATTAGAATCAATAAATCCAGCCTAATTCCCTGCTTTTATAATATAAGCCCCTTTCACAATGGACTAAAATCCCTAAAGCATAGGAAGGATTTAGAAAGAAGATGGGAGGAGAGCAGGAGGGGAATTGTGAGCAAATCTGGCAGTAGTTGAGTGTGGGGCTTGTGAAAGCCCAGCACAGGCCGTGATTCGGCCAGAGCACCTGCGTGATCCTAACGTGCAACCAGGGCTGAGAACCCCCAGGAAAAAGCATCAGGTGTATGCAGGGAGAAGTGGCCACCAAGGTTGGAAGCAGCAGATGGGTCAGATCCCAGAAGACTGATTATAGGCCAGGGGGCCCAGGAGGCCCTGCTGTGGAGCAGAGGGGGATCCCTGGAGAGGGGTGAGACTACTCATCCCTCCCCACTGCAGAAACGAGGCTGGTGGAGGGCAGAAGGGGCCTAGGAGAGGGGGCCAGAAGGACAGCACAAAGTCTAAGGTGGTGGCAGCAATCCTGTGAAGGGTGTGTTGAACTGGGGCCACTTGGGGAAGGTGGTAGGGTCTTTGCTGAATAAGAAAGACCACAGCTGTGGTCTGGAATGAGGAAAACCAGATTCCTGAGTTGGCTTGGCCACTCATGGGTTGTGTGATCTCACTCTTTAAAGATAGAGATATTTACCTTAAAAGGCTATTAAGAGTCTAAATAAAAATCATATTAAAGCAATTGGCACATAGTAAGCACTCAGCAAACAAGGAGGAAAATCAATTATGTCCTTGTTCTAATATTCTGCTCTTTTGTATTCTGCCATGGTCGACTTTTCTCCTAGTTGCTGTGGTTTAATAATGAACAGCCCTTAAGTGCAGAGGCCTGCAAAAAAGCACTGTAGGAGATCCCACAATGTGGGCCAAGTGTGTGAAGTCCCTGCTGAAATGGATAGGAGTCACAAAAGAACAGCAATGGAGGAGGCACTGCTCCGGGGAGGCCCTGTGGGTTCTGTGGTTGGAGGCCTGGGTACAAAGTGTTCACCAGAAGAGGATGCACAGGCTTGGTCCTGCAAAAGCCTCTTCATTCAGCCTGAAGTCAGTTACACAGGATGGGCATCTGGACAGCATTTTAGGGTGTGCATCACAGGTCAGAGGGTCTGGGTTCAAGTCCTGGCTCCACTCCCAACTCCAGCTTCCTGCTAGGGCACACCTGGGAGACAGAGATGATGGCTCTAACTGTTGAGTGCCTGCCATCCTCATGGGAGACCCAGATGGAACGCACTGTTCCTGGCTTTGGCCTGGCCAAGCCTCTGCTGTTGAGGACATTTGGGGAGTGAAACAGCAGAGGTGAGATCTCTCTGTACTTGTCAAATAAACAAAATAAATCATTAGTAAAAATAAGTCAATCAATTACACACTGACACAGGACTGAGCTAGACTAGGGAGGGATACTGAGGGGTGCCATAATTTAATAGGTATGGTGGTGGGGGTTTGGGGAAGCCTGCTATTTAATACACAAGACCAGTGGCAGTGGAGGCGGGAGGCTGAGAGAAGGGTGGGGCTTGGGGAAGAAGGTGCAGGCATCAACAGCCGCGCTCTGGGGAATCTTCTCCCGGCCGTGCTGAGGTGGCGACACGGCTCTGACCTCAGCATTCGCCTCCCCTCACTCTCTTCATCCCCCACCTGCTCTAACATCTATGTGTTCAGTTCCTGCCACCAGGCTGACGAGGTCCACGTCCTTCTTGTCTGTTCGCTCTGTCCCCTGAGCAGCCCACTCTGTCTCCACCTAGTCAGCCTGTACTTTGCTTTGTCGTTTCATTGGGGTGTGATATAGAGGATAAAGTCCATATGTCTCAATTGTTCACGTACAACCTCCACCCAGATCAAGGCGGGAAAATCCCCAGCACCTCTGAAGGTTCCTTGTGCTCCTTCCCAGCCCATGACCCGCCTTTGTCTCCAGAGATAGCCACTATTCTGACTTCAGTCACCATCAATTACTTTTGAATTTCACATGAACGGAGTCATTTAGTAAGTGCATGTGTGTCTAGTTCTTTCACTCGTCATTATGTCTGTGAGACTCGCGCATTATCGGGTGTCACAGCGATTTGTTCTTTTCCACTGCTATGCAACATCGATTCTCAATTGGGAGCAATTTTGTCCCCCCCCAGCAAGGGCCTTTGGGGACTGTCCGGAGACAGTTTTGATTGGCACAATTCAGGACAAGGACGGAAGGAAAACACTAGCATAGAGTGGGTGGAGGCCAGGGTTGCTGTCACACATCTTAGGATGCACAGGAGAGCCCTTACAACAAAGAATCATCTGGTCCATGAGGGAATGTTTGGCCTGGCAATTAAGGTGCCTGCATCCCATATCAGAGTTCTTGGGTTCAAGTCCCGGCTCTGCTGCCTACTCCAGCTTCCTGCAATGCAGACCCCAAGATGCAATGGGTGTTTGGGAACCTACACCCACAGAGGAGACCTGGATTGAGTTCTAGGCTCCCAGCTTCAGTCCAGCTTAGAGCTGGCAGCAACTGTGGGCAATTGAGAATAGGCACTTTTCTTTCTCTTCTATGTAGCTCTGGCTCTCAAATGAATAACTAATTTTTTAAAAAGATTTACTTATATATTTGAAAGGCAGAGTTAGAGAGAGGCAGAGGCAGAGAGAGGTCTTCTATCCGCTGGTTCACTCCCCAAATGGCCAGAGCTGGACTGATCCGAAGCCGGGAGCCTGAACTTCTTCTGGGTCTCCCACATGGGTGCAGTGTCCCAAGGACTTGGGCTGCTTTGCCAGGCACATTTGCAGGGAGCTGGATCAAAAGTGGAGCAGCCGGGACTCGAACTGGTGCCCATATGGAATGCTGGCACTGCAGGCAGCAGTTTTACCTGCCAAGTCACAGCACTGGCCCCCTGAATAACTAATTTTTGAAAAAGATTTTGTTTATTTGAAAGTCAGAGTTACAGAGAGAGGGAGACACACAGAGCGATCTCCCATCTGCTGGTTCACTCCCCAGATGGCCACGATGGCCAGCACTGGGTCAGGCTGAAGCCAGGACCCAGGAGCTTCTTCCAGGTCTCCCACATGGGTGCAGGAGCCCAAGTACTCGATCCATCTTTCACTGCTTTTCCAGACCATTAGTAGGGAACTAAATCAGAAGTGGAGCAGATGGGACATGAACCAGTGTCCATGTGGGATGCTGGTGTTGCAGGCAGCGGTTTTACCTGCTAGGACACAGCACCGGCCAAATGAATAACAATTTTTTTTTTTGACAGGCAGAGTGGACAGTGAGAGAGAGAGACAGAGAGAAAGGTCTTCCTTTGCCGTTGGTTCACCCTTCAATGGCCGCCGCGGCTGGCGCGCTGCGGCCGGCGCACTGCGCTGATCCGATGGCAGGAGCCAGGAGCCAGGTGCTTTTCCTGGTCTCCCATGGGGTGCAGGGCCCAAGCACCTGGGCCATCCTCCACTGCACTCCCTGGCACAGCAGAGGGCTGGCCTGGAAGAGGGGCAACTGGGACAGAATCCGGCGCCCCGACCGGGACTAGAACCTGGTGTGCCGGTGCCACTAGGCGGAGGATTAGCCTAGTGAGCTGCGGCGCCGGCCGAATAACAATTTTTTTTAAAATATCTGGTCCAAAATGTTGATAATAATATTTGGAACCCCCTCCTGTAACTACTAAAATCAATTATCACAAACTGAATGGTTTAAACTAAAGAAATTCCTGATCTTAGTTCTGAAGTTCAAAGTCCATTCCCTTTCGGTGTCAGTCTCAGAGGCTACCGCACTCCTTGGCGTGTGGCCCCCCCTTCCATCTTCACAGCCAGCGATGGCCAGCCACGTCTTTATCACACTAAATCACTCTAACACCGGCTCTCTTCCTCTTTCACTTCTAGAAGGACTCTTGTGATTACACTGGGCCATCTGCATAATCCCAGGCTATTCTGCCTGCCTCAAGATTCTTAACCAAATAACATCTGCAAAATCCCTTCTGTCATTTAAGATAACATATTCATGGGTCTCAGGAACTAGGAGGTGGGCCTACTGGGCTGTGGATTCATTCTGTCTACCACATCTTGCTATTCAGTATTCTGTGGTATGAACATGCCACAGTTTCTGTAAGTACTAAATAATGTGGCTGCAAACATTCTTTTTTTTTTTTTTTTTTTGACAGGCAGAATGGACAGTGAGAGAGAGAGACAAGAGAGAAAGGTCTTCCTTTGCCGTTGGTTCACCCTCCATTGGCCGCCGTGGCCGGCGCGCTGTGGCCGGTGCACCGCGCTGATCCGATGGCAGGAGCCAGGTGCTTCTCCTGGTCTCCCATGGGGTGCAGGGCCCAAGCACTTGGGCCATCCTCCACTGCCTTCCCTGGCCACAGCAGAGAGCTGGCCTGGAAGAGGGGCAACCGGGACAGAATCCGGCGCCCCGACTGGGACTAGAACCCGGTGTGCCGGCGCCGCTAGGTGGAGGATTAGCCTAGTGAGCAGCGGCGCTGGCCGCAAACATTCTTGCACAAAGCAGCACTCAGTTTTGCTGGGTATAGACTCAGAGTGGAACTGCGGGGTCACCAGGTGAACACGCTTAGCTTGAATAGATAATACCAAAGAGTTTTACACAGTGATTGTAATGATTCACATTCTTACCAGAGGTGTGTTTACATTTTCATCCTGTACTGAGCACTCCACATAGACCACCTAAGATACTTGCAACTCGGCTTGTCTAAAACTAGCCCAGTGTTACCCAGCTCAGGGCATCATTCCGCCAGAGATCCAAAGCCTGACACCCAGGACACACCCAGGGCTCCTCCCTCTCCCTGCCTGCCGACTCTCAGCTAGCCACTCCAGCCTTTTACTCTGCACCAGCTGCTCTTGTCTGCACTCTTCCCGTGCCGGAGGGCTTCATCACCTTACCCCTAGACTACAGCTCCTCCCTGCCTGACCCCTCCCATCCACCCTTCCCATGGCCCTCAAGGTCACCTTTCCTAAAAGCAAAACCTCATCCTGATGCTTCTCTTTGCTCTATGATAAAGCAGCTGGTCCCAGCCTACCTCCCTGATCCCCCCGCCACCCTCAGCATTCTGTCCTAAGGCAATGGTGCCTCTGAGTTCCACCTGCACAGAATTGCTTAGTTTCTCTTCTCAAATCGATCCCTTCTCCATTTAATGGCAGCCCATCTTTGAACACTTGGCGCACCAGCCACACTTTTCACTGCCGCCTTTCCCGGGGACCCTCTACTCAGGAGACTTCACCCTTCTGTGCCGTGCCCCAACGCATCCTGCACCTACAACTTCCAGCCCATTTGTTGCTGCCTTAATAAACATAAGCTGCTGGAGAGAAAATGCCACCTTGTCATCCCAGGGCTTAGCTCAGGGCCTAACACAATGCTTACCAGACTGCCAGGGGGTTGGGATCGGACAAGTGAAATGATGTACAGGAAGCACCTAGTGTAGACAATGATCCTGAAACCTAAAGGCAAACGAGAGGCTTATGGGCCCTGAGCTCTCACAGGGAAGTAACAGTTCTGTTTTTGCTGGGCTACTAAACAGATGATAGGAGAAAGCATATGCAAGATTCTAGCCTGCTAAGCACACTCAGAGAGCTACCATTACTGTTTCTACTGGTGAGAGTAGCATCTCCAGTGACCAGCAAGAGAGCTTTTAGTTTGCTGGTTCAGGCCCATCTTGAAATGATATTTGTTCAGCAGAAAATTAGAAGCCTACCTGTCTGCATTTATACCATGGACACCACATGTAAAGCCACAGCTACACCTCAGAGCTGCGGTATGGCCCCTAATCCTACTGGAATTTGCTGCACTGTTTTAGTTTTGTGTACGGGACATGGAGTCTTTTTAGTGATTGCAGGTTTGGGAGTATCACTGGCTTGATAACTTTTTAAAGTTAAATGCGTTTGATGCCATTTTTCTCTCAGAGAGCAACCCAGACTTAATTGAGGGTATCTTGTCTCACTTGTGTGTTAATCCTAGTCAATATGAATCTTACTGTATCTCTGAGGGTAGCTGGCTAACTACACAGGGTCAGCCAATGAGCTAGCAAAATGCTTTGCATATAGGAGGTCCTCAACCAAATTTCCTAAGGAGGCATAGAGCACCTCGATGTGGTTTCCATGACAAGTCTCTCCTGGTTTTCTTCCCTCCTCGGTCACTCCTTCATCTTATGGAGGGCCCGTCCGCTGTCAGTAACCCCCAAGACTTGTACCTCTGGGATTCCTTCTGGTGTCATAACCCCCGAGACTTGTACCTCTGGGATTCTGTTCTTCGATGGCTAAATTTCTCTACTCCCTCTCCAGGCGTGATTTCACCTCCTCTCGTGCCTTGAAGCACATCCACAGCAGATGGTTTTCAAACCTATATTTAGTCAAACCTCCCCTAAGCTTCAGGTCCATCCGACCTTTGAACAGCTTGTCAGGCGTCCCACAGATAGCAGAAATCCTACACACTAAATAGTAAGCTCAGCTTCCACCTCTGACTTGTTCATCTGTTCCAGTGACTAGTACTACTACCAGTTACCCAACCCAAAATACAAATAGGAGTCACTCTGAATTGCATTCTCTTTCCTGCATCTCCACTGGTCATTAAGATCCTTTGTTTTGGAGCTGCCATATGGCAGCTGGTAAAGCCACCACCTGCGGAGCCGGCATCCCACACAGGGCACTGGTTGAAGTCTGGCTGCTCCACTTCCCATCCAGCTCCTCATTAATGACCTGGGAAAAGCAGCAGAAGATGGCCCAAGTGTTTGGGCCCCTGCCACCCATATGCTAGACCCGAATGAAGCTCTTGGCTTCAGCCTGGCTCAGCCCTGGCCGTTGTGGCCATCTGGGAGTGAACCAGCAGATGGAAGCGCTCCCTCTCTGTCTCTCCATCTCTCTCTCTCTCTAACTTTGCCTTTCAAGTAAATCAGTCTTTGGGGCAGGAGGAAGATCTGCTTTTTCGACCTGTTCCACCCTGTGACTCTACCCCACAGCCATGGTGAGGACTTGCCAGTCTCTCTGCAGTCTCTCAGGAGCCTGCCTGCCTGCTGCCCTCCCTCCCACTTCCCAGCCAGCCAGCTGGAAATTTATTAAAGTCAAATCAAGTTATGTTGTTCTGCTTACACTGCCCCAGTGATGGACACTTGTCTACAGAAGCAAGTCCAAACCCCTTAGAGGTGCATGGCTGTTTAAACTTGGCCTATCCCTATCTCTCAGAGTATAAAAAGAAAGGAAATAATAAAAAACATGAGCAACATTCACTGAAAAAGAGATATGCCACAAACCAAAATTTGATACTTTTAGAGAACAACAACAACAACAAAAAAATCTCAACAAGATTAACTCTGAAAAAAAGAGGCAAGGTGTAAACTAGTATGTTATGAAAAAGGGAAAATAACTATGGGTCAGTAGAAATTATTTTTGATTCACAAGATAATGCTGTGATTCACTTGATGACAATGAGTTTAAAAAGTAGAATATGAAATTTTCCAGAAAAAAACTGATTACCAAGATTGACTCAAGAAAAAATACAAAAGCTGAAAAAAATGAATAACTATTGAAGATGTGAAATTAATAGTTTTTTTTTAAACTTCATGGAAAAGACACCTAGCCCAGAAGTTTTACAGGAGAATCTTTTTTTTTTTTTTTTGACAGGCAATTGATTTTTAAAAAAATTTTTTTTTTTTTTTGACAGGCAGAGTGGACAGTGAGAGAGAGAGACAGAGAGAAAGGTCTTCCTTTGCCGTTGGTTCACCCTCCAATGGCCGCCACGGCCGGCACGCTGTGCTGATCCAAAGCCAGGAGCCAGGTACTTCTCCTGGTCTCCCATGCTGGTGCAGGGCCCAAGAACTTGGGCCATCCTCCACTGCACTCCCGGGCCACAGCAGAGAGCTGGCCTGGAAGAGGGGCAACCGGGACAGAATCTGGCGCCCCGACCGGGACTAGAACCCGGTGTGCCGGTGCCGCAAGGCGGAGGATTAGCCTAGTGAGCCGCGGCACCAGCCAACAGGAGAATCTTAACAGATATTTAAGGAGCAACCCTTGTGTAAATTATTCCAAACAGTAGAAAAGGAGTGGAAACTATCCATTTGATTTTATAGAAATAACCTCGATCCTAATATTATACAAGATAACATAAAAAAGGAGAAAATTGTAGGCCAGTTTCACTTATGCATATATATGCAAACATTTGAAACAAAAAAACAGCAAACCAAATTCAGCATAGTAAAATATATCTTTACACAAGCAAGATGCACCCCAGGAATGTAAAGATAATTCAGTATTAAGGGAAAAAGGTATTAACATGTTAAAAAAGAAAAACCTTCTCAGTTGATGTAGAAAACCATTCAATAAAATTCAATATCCACTCACATTTGAAAAAAAAAAAAACTTAGAAAACTAGGATTAAAAAAAGTTTTCTAAACTGAACTCATAAAAACAAGAACAAACCTCCCACTTAAGGGTGAGGCTTCAGAAGCATCCCCATGTCCCGGGACTAAGATGTGTGCTGCTACCAACTATTTGAAGCTACACTGGGTGTCCTGAGCAATGCAGCAACACAATAAAAGCAAGACACGTAACACTGGAAAGGAAGGCGATCAGTTGCTCTTTGCTAAAAACCCATTTCCTTCACAGAGTCCCAGAGAGCCTGCAGACTGGCTAATTAGAGGATGTGGAAAAATAAATGCACGTGAGCAAACATGTAAAAATAATGTGTATTGCCAGCGCCGCGGCTCACTAGGCTAATCCTCCGCCTTGCGGTGCCGGCACACCGGGTTCTAGTCCCGGTCGGGGCGCCGGATTCTGTCCCGGTTGCCCCTCTTCCAGGCCAGCTCTCTGCTGTGGCCAGGGAAGGCAGTGGAGGATGGCCCAAGTGCTTGGGCCCTGCACCCCATGGGAGACCAGGAGAAGTACCTGGCTCCTGCCATCAGATCAGTGCGGTGTGCCAGCCGCAGCGTGCCGGCCGCAGCGGCCAATGGAGGGTGAACCAATGGCAAAGGAAGACCTTTCTCTCTGTCTCTCTCTCTCACTGTCCACTCTGCCTGTCAAAAAATTTAAAAAAAAATTAATGTGTATGGACAAAAACAAGTTAGAAAATGTACAAACTCTTTACCACAGGGACAATAATTAAAAGATAACTTAGAAAAAAATAAGAAAGTGTGACATTAGTACAGACTAATGGAATGTAATGGAGGCTCTAGAAATAATATCCAAGTATATCTGTGTGATATATCTTATGTGACAGAGGATCAATGACTTTCTATATGACAGAAAAAACTCAGTTCCCACCTCTCTCTATACATAAACACAAGACCCATTTAGATTAATAAATATCTAAACAGAAAAAAATACAATTTAAAATGATGTGTATATGCTTGGGTATATATGATTTTTGTGGGAAAAGATCATAAAATATGTGAAAACTTAAAAGACTTAAATAATACATGCCAAGCTTTATCATGTCTCTATGTGGGAAAATTCATGGCCAATTTGTGTGAACAGCGTTTTCCCAAGTACAGCCCAAGTGTATTTGCATCAAAATTATCTAGAGTGCTTGTTAAAACACCAGATTCTTAGGCTTCATTTTATATTTATTTATTTGAAAGGCAGAGAAGCAGAGAGAGAGAGCAAGATCTCCCATTTGCTGGTTCACTCCCCAAATGCCTGTAACAACTAGGAGTGAGCCAGGCTGAAGCCAGGAGCCTGGGGCACAGTCTGAGTCTCCCATGGCAGTTGGCAGGGACCCAATTATCTGAGCCATTGCCTGCTGCCCGCCAGAGTAGATATTAGCAGGGAGCTGGAGTGGAGGATGTCGGCTTTCCAACCAGCAGCTTAACAGCTCTGCCAGATGCTACCCCTCAGGTTTCATTATTTTTTTTTTAAATTTACTGAACAGAAAATTATGAAGTAGTACAAAGAATTCTCATGTACCTTACACCCAGCTTCCCTTATTAATATTTCATATTAGTGTATTTGTCACAATTAATGAACCACACCCAGCTTCCCGGTTTTTTGTTTTTTAATCAAAACTCCCTCTGTCCCCTCACCCTTCCCAGATTCTAGTAATCACCATTTTGTGTTCAGATTAGGCTTTATTTTCAGTTCCCACATAGAGGGGAGAACATGCAGTATTTTTCTTTCTGTGTTTGGCTTATTTCATTCAACATGACATGATGTTCTCCAGCTCCATCCATTTTGCTGCAAATGACAGGATTTCTTTCTTTATGGCTGAATAGCATTCCATTGTGTATATATGCCACATTTTCTTTATCCATTCATCTGTTGATGGACAGCATTGGTTGATTCCACATCTTGGCTATTGTCAACAGTGCTGCAATAAACATAGTGGAGCAGTATCTCTTTAATACAAGGATCTCATGTCTTGGATATATGCCCATTTTAAACTTACTGAGCCTGAGGGTGCGACCCAGGAATCTGCATTTTGGAAAGCTCTCCAGGTGACTCTTTCGTGAGGCCCTTGCCTGTGGAAGTAGGTTATAACTGGAGTTGCACATTAGAATCGCTTGAGACAACTGCAGAAAATTCAGATGGCTGGGCCATACCCCAGACCAGTGAAATCAGGTTTTCTGGGTGAGGCCCGTCCGCAGGGGCATTCTCAAAGGTCTCCAGCAATTGCAATGTGCAGCCGGGGTCGGTGACCACCAGCTCCGGGGAAGGCGCATTTGGAGCCAATTTCCCCATGTGAACATTTACTTCTAGTGCTGACCTACAAGGATTTGGATTTTATCTTGATTAATGCAGACACAGTCCCTTAAATAAGAACTGTAACGGATTCCTTTCTTATCCCAGCATCCTGTCTGGAATGTAACAGGGGCATGGTGGTCATTTTCTAAAATAAATTCAACTGAATGATATGGAAGGAAACAAAGTAGTATATAGGTGAATAAAATCTTCACTAAGCCCTAAAAATTCCACAGGATCTCTAAGTCTATATAGCAACTTGGCACAGTGTTGGGCTGTGCGAAGTACAGAAATGAACAAAACACAGCCCTCCTCTCAAGTGCTCACGGTCTGGTGAGCCAGGCAGATGTAGACAAAAGCATTTTACAGCTAAGCAGACAATGGTAAGAGCTCAGAAAGAAACAGGAGGACAGAAGAAAAATTAATTCTGAGTAGCAGGACCTAGGAAGGCATCACAGAAGATTAAGCACCCCAGATCAGCCATGAGGTATTGCTGGGATTCACGTGGGAGGAGATGAGGGCGATGGGCAGTGGGGCACAGGGCAGTTCTACAAAGAGAAGGTCAGCACACGGGCTTTTCTGTAACCTTCACGCAAGGCTGCAGGACAGACCATAAAGGCTCCTTTCCTTTCTGACTGCCCTGTTATTGCTCTCATTTTTCAAGAATTTCGCCTCTGGTTTATTAATTCTACCTCATAATGTCTCTGCTGATTTCTTCCAGGGAAAGAGTCTCATTAGCATTTCTATAAGGACCACCTGCTACCCCGTCTATCCCTCCTAACTGATGGCCAGGGCCAGGAGGTTGACTGGGAGGGGAATTTTAATCCTTGTGACTCATCTGTTTTCTAATTGAGAATGCCAGGCCTATAGTCACAAACGGCTTCTTAGAGAAATCCATCCTTATCATTAATAAAGTAACAAAGACATGTGTAAATTTTATAATATCACCTATGCAAAATGAATGTATTAAAAATTAATCAACTTCATGACTGTGAATAATTCTAAAAATATCATAGATACCACTTGAATGCAAAAAATTCCAGACCAGTATGAATGGGTTATGAATTAGAGGAACTGCTGAACAGGGAAGGTTTCTTAAAACCACAATGGCAAAGGATAACTAATATTATTTATGAATTAGCACATGATTTTGAGTACTTACATACCAGTGTATTAAGCTGATGAATTACGTATGCTTTATTTAAACAAACTGCTCACACTGATGCCATGTGACAGCTGTCACTTGTAAAGCCCAGGAGAGGAACCAGTCACTGAGGTGTAAACACCATGATTTATGTGGCCCGGCACAAGAAAAGGCCATAGGAATCAAATTATCATGGAAATGGAGTCTGGCTTGGCTTTGAAGGTGGGGCAAAGCCCATTTACAGTGGACATGGGACATACTGAAATCCAGGAACTATCCAGAATCCCAGCAAGAAAAAGAATGTGAGACAATAGGCAAGGAAAAGCAAGGTTGCAGAAAAGCCTACAATTTCCAACATTTTTTCTTTACAGTGGATTTAACTTATTGAGTATCTAATTTCTTCACAGCTACCTCCACCCAAAGTACATTTCTATAGTACTAGTTCATTTCTTTTCTGGAACAAGAAAATCATGTTAAATTTTGCATCCACTTTAAGTCATGCATTTAAATTGTCCATTGAAGAAACTGATGCCTCTTAGCAACACTCATTCTTTTAAAATGAGTTTCATTTTGATATTCAAAATCATTGTGATTATCCAGCAAAAGGGTGCTGCTGGCCCCAAAGTCATGTGTTTAATCACATTTAACAAAAGACCTCAAGGCAGAAATTTGTTTTTCAGGGGTGCAGTGATTTTTTCTTGAGGCTGGTAGAGTTCTGATAGCCGCTAGAAATCATTCTCGCTGGCTGCCAAGAGCAGAGCCCCCCCACCCCACCCCGGCCCGGTCTAATGAACCCGTTTGGGTGTAATTTGAACTGGGAAGCACATCACATTCAGCGCAGAACTGAGGTGTTGTTTCGGGGGGAAAGGCCATACAGAGCCAGGGCACAGCCCCAGTCTGGAGTGAGCTGCAGCTGAAGGGTGTGGTCATTCCTGGCCGTCTGGCCAATCACCATCGAACAAAGCAAGTTCTGTCAATATGGAGACAGAACCGGAGCGGCAGCACCCAAGGAGGGGTGAGAATCTGGGATCCACCCCCCCACACTGGCTATGGGGGGGGGGGGAGACGGCTCCCGCCTGGCGGTGGAACAGGGATAGGAACGTGAAGAGGATTCTCGGAAAATGAAGATCAGGGAATGAAGTGGGGCCTTGTAAACAAGAAAGCCACGGGCGGAGACAGAGAACTACGCCTTGGCTTTGTTTATATGCCCTTTGCTTGTTTGCTTCATTTTCTTTTGATCCTTAGCAGCATAAAAATACTGTGAAAATCCTACCTCTTCACGGTTATTCAAAGAAAGGGATGTGTAGCTTTGCCTGGCCCAGAGGTTTCAAAGGCAGCAGTGCAGTCCTGGGGACAGCGAGGCTGTAGGAGGGGAACTCAGCAGCATGGGAAAGCCTGGGGCAGTGGTGTAACGTGGTAGTCAGATTTCGTCTTAACAGGAGGTGTGTGCATTGACCAGTATTTCCCAGCATACTGGGAGCGTCTGTCACATTCAGTGGACCAAGACATCCGTGTGGCATGAGGCTACCTATGGGTCTTGGCAGAAGATACCAACTCTGCAGTCCTCCCCACCCTCCCCTGCAGGCCCAAGGCGGCTAACTGGCTGTGGCCTTGATGAAGGGCCCTATGGACCCCATTTTGAACACCTGCAACTCAATTACTCACCATGCCCGTGTGCTTCCCGAGAGACCCCCCAAACCCACCGTCACACGTCCAGAATCCACCGGGATGTTAGCTACTCGGTGTTGGTTGATAAGAGCAAGACTGAAAGCCACACATTCAGAAATACAAACTGGAAGGATGAAGGGTGAAAGCGAGAGCGAGAGAGTTCTAGAACGGAATGGCGGGGCTGGGGGCGGGTGTTTCCATGCTTCACTTACAAGGCATCTGAAATGTGTGAAAGGGGAGGGTACTGGGTGGTGACAGAAATGCACAGGGAGAACATGAAGTGGTGGGAAGAGAAGGGAGCTTCCTCAACATGGAGGCACGCAGGAAGTGGACATCAGAATAATGGGGCATTGTGTAGAAGATGGGCCTGGAAACAAGCCCAGGTACCCCCGCAGCGGCCGTCCTGACCCTCAGCGTCTCTAGCCCAGGGCCTGGCCTGCAGCAGGCCCTAAAAACATATTGAATATGTAACACTGAACCAGCGAATGAGGGAACGACCCTAACAGCTAGCTATTCTTAGCTGCATCTCACGAATAGGAAGCTGAGGCCCAGAAAGGTTCAGAAACTTGCCCGCAGGGTCCCGGCTAGGAAGGCGCCCAAGTGCCAGCGCGGGCGGAAGTCTGGGACACGGCAGGCGTGCGGGCGTGGTCTGTGAGCGTCTCCAGGAGAGTGAAATGCCAAGTGCCGTGGGCGCGGGGGGTGGGGGTGGGGTTCACTTGGAGAGAATTCTAGAAGGGCAGGACCTGAGGGAGGGCAGCAAGGCAGCTGGGTGGGGCGGTCCAGCGCGCGAAGAAACGGCGGGCAGGCAGGGCTGTGGGGCGGGGCGGGCGGGCGTGGCCGACGTGGGCAGTGACAGCGCGGGGAAGGCCGGGAGGGGAGAGGCTAACGGCTTCCACACCGGCCAGAGCAGGGACACGTGTGCGGTGGTGGGGGGCGCCCTGCGACCCGAGGGCCCGCCGAACTGGGAGCATGCGCCCTGGACCGTCCTCGGCATTGGGCAGCCGCTGCGCCGGCTCACCTGTAGGAGCTGCTCACTACGCTCGTCACCTCCTCGCGGATTTGCCGGTTGAGGGCGTCCGCAGCCGCGCGTCCCTTGCCACCCTCCGGGCCTCCGGCCTGGGCTGTGGGCAGCGGCGTCTGCTCGGGCCCCAGCCCCTCAGCGCGGCGCACCATCCAGGCGGGCCCAGCCTTCCTGCGGGTGTCGCGCTCATCCGAACCCGACGCCTTTCCGGCAGCGGGGCGACCCTCTTCGGCCGGGGCCTGGGCCTGGGCAGTGGGCACCGGCGTCTGCTCGGGTCCCAGCCCCTCGGCGCGAGTCACCATCCAGGCGGGCCCGGCCTTCCTGCGGGTGTCGCGCTCATCTGCACCCGATGCCTTTCCGGCCGCGGGGCGATCCTCCTCGGCGGGGGCGTGAGCTGCAGGCAGCGGCGTCTGCTCGGGCCCCAGCCCCTCGGCGCGAGTCACCATCCAGGCGGGCCCGGCCTTTCTGCGGGTGTCGCGCTCATCTGCACCCGACGCCTTTCCGGCCGCAGGGCGACCCTCTTCGGCCGGGGCCTGGGCCTGGGCAGTGGGCACCGGCGTCTGCTCGGGCCCCAGCCCCTCGGCGCGAGTCACCATCCAGGCGGGCCCGGCCTTTCTGCGGGTGTCGCGCTCATCTGCACCCGACGCCTTTCCGGCCGCGGGGCGACCCTCCTCGGCGGGGGCCTGGGCCTGGGCTGTGGGCAGCGGCGTCTGCTCCTGCCCATGCCCCTCGTCGCGGCGCACCATCCAGGCGGGCCCGGCCTTCCTGCGGATGTCGTGCTCGTCCGCACCCGACGCCTTTCCCGCCGCCGGGCGACCGGCTCCGGCCTGCGTCTGGGCTGCGGGCGCTGGCATCTGCTCCTGCCCATGCCCCTCGTCGCGGCGCACCATCCAGGCGGGCCCGGCCTTCCTGCGGGTGTCGTGCTCGTCTGCACCCGATGCCTTTCCGGCCGCCGGGCGACCGGCTCCGCCAGGGGCTTCCTGCTCCCGGGCGTCGGCAGCAGCCTGCATGGGCCAGCGCTCCTGGCTCTGCGGCCGGCGCTTGGGCGCCCCGAGAACAGGCGCCGAGGACGCGGGGATCTGCATGGGCTTGGGGATCCACGGGTGGTCTCCGCGGCGCGGCAGCGGCCAGGCCCGGAAGTCCTTCTGGTACTGGGTCTCGCGCTCGAAGGGCGCGTCGGACGGCTGGTACTCGCTGCGCGGCCGGCAGCTGGGCTCTGGCCGCTGCACTTTCCAGGCGCGGTAGTCCTGACGCATCACAGAGTCCGCGGGCCCTGTGCTGGAGGCGGAGCCTGAGCTGGGGCCGGGGCCTGACCCGCCCCGGCCGGGGGCGGCGGCCGCCTCGCGTTCGCCACTAGGCCCTGGCGCCGGCCCTGTTGCCCGGGCAACTGCATCCAACTCGCCCTGGGCGGGCTGCGTCTCTATGGCGACCGCGCGCGCCGAGGGGGGCTGCGCCGGCGGCAGCTGAGGCGGCGGCAGCTGCTGTGGGGCGCCCGGGTGCTCGGTGGCCTCCGAGTATTTGGTGAAAACCAGAGGCACGGCGATGTCCGCCTTGTCTAGCTGGTTCCAGAAGCGGGCGATGCAGCAGGCCCGCGTGATGCACGGCCACGCCATGATGCTAGCTGCAAGGGCAAGGCTGGCCGCTCTCTTTCTTACTGTGGTTCTGAAGCAAGTCTCGAAGCTTCTTCCTTCAGCCCCCGACCCCGACCGGCCAATGCGGTTCCCACCAATTTCTGACCCAGATCAGCCAGAGCGACCTCGCCCTCCTCCCTCAGAAAGCACCCGGCGAGAGCTACTGCTGAGACAAAGTCCGAAAAGTCCCTCGGTTTACCGGCTTCGAACGCTCCGGGAGTGCAGTCTGCCGCGGCGCCAGAGGCTGGGAGTCCCGGAGTCCCCTACTAGGGCGTCTGGGACGCGCCCCTCCCTGCGGCTGCGGCGGCGGCGCGCAGACCCCGGCCGAGCCCGGCGACGCGAGGCAAGGTGGCTGCGGGCTTAAGCCATGGCGCAGAGGAAGGGCTGGGTGGCGAGGATCCGGCAAGATGCTGCTTTCCGCCGGCGTCCGGAAGCAGCCGGCCCTCTGGCAGGGTCTGGGGGGGTCGATTGCCTCCCGCAGAGACCAAGCGTGGCCGCCTGAGCCGCAGTCTCCGATGGTGCTGCAGCCGCTGTCGCTGCCGCCGGTGCTGCAGAGAAGCGGCCCCACCCTTCAATGCCGCTCAGCAAGGAAAAAAAAAAAAAAAATCCAGGAAAGATGCTGGGAGAAAGCGCGCTGCAGAAAAAAATCACCTGCTGTCGTCATCGCGCGCCGCTGGGAGCTTGCCCTGCCCTCCCTCCCCTCCCTCGACTGCAGCTCCGCCCTCCTCGGCTCCCCGGCAACCGCAGAATCAGGGCCTCGGTGGGATCGGGTCCCACGCTCCTGACCACGGCTGTTCTCGGTGCTGGTCGGTGGTCTTCCGCAGCTCCAGGCCTTTCTTTTGTAAAACGCGGCCAATTACTGGGGGAGGGACGATATTTTATAAAAATATATTCCATACACACGCGCACACACACACACACACACAGAGAAACACCTAGTGAAATGTCTGCCCCAGAACAGATGCTTTATAAAAGGCAGTTGCTTTATTGATCAAAGCCACCAAGCTGTATTTGAACCTAGTCTGGCCAGCAAAGCACTTGCCAGTGTTATGTATAGACCTTGCTCAGCTCTGTGGCAATGGGAGCCACAGGCTGGTGGTGCCATGACGGTTCCTCTCTCTCTCTCTCTCTCATCCTTCTTTTCTTTAAGGTATATTTATTTATTTCAAAGGCTGAGTGAGAGAGAGAGAGAGAGATGGATAGAGAGAGAGACCTTCCATCTTCTGTTGATTCCCCAAATGGCCACAATGGCCAGGGCTGGGCAAGGCCAAAGCCAGGAACCTTTGTTCTGGCATTGTGGTGCAGCAGGTTAAGCCACTTCCTGTGATGCCAGGAGCTTCCTCCAGGTCTCCCACGTGGGTGCAAGAGCCCAAGCACTTGGTCCATCTTTCATTGCTTTCCCAGGCGCATTAGCAGGGAGGTAGATGGGAAGCAGAGCAGCTGAGACTCCAACCTTTGGCACCATGTGGGATGCCGGCACTGCAGGCAGCGGCTTTACCTGCTGTGCCACAGCGCTGGCCCTGGTTTCTTTCTTAAGGGAGTCCTTGGGAATAGGTGTCTTAGACCCTCCCAAGGACCACACAGACAGACCCTATTCGGCACCCGGGCTGCGCTAGGGCAGAGCAGGTGAAAAGAAGATTGCTGAGAGGGGCCCAAGTGGAGGAGATTGAGGGGTGGTTACTTAGGAAAGAGGAGGGCCTGCCCTGCAGGGGGCTTTCTGGCACTTTTTTTTTTTTTTTGCAAGGAAAACACATTTTATTTTATCATAAAGCCACAACCCGGCACGCCCTGAGGGTGGAGAAGTCACATCCGAGCACACCTGGCACCCACTTCTGGGTAATCTAAGGAGAAACTCCAATGTCAAAATTCAGGGTAGGTCTTGCAAGCAGAGTGGGCCTGTTCAAGTGCCCATTCCGCCACCTGCCAGCTGTGTGGCCTTGTGCATGCTGTTCAACTTCTCTGTCAAAGAGGGCAGCGTGGTAGGGAATGAAGGAACTGAAAGACAGACATGGCTGAGCATGGAACTTGGTACTCAGCAAGCTCTCAAGGGTGCCACTCCTAGGACACTCCCTGAGCTCCTAAACGTGTGAGGGACAGACTGGGGACCGTGATCAAGGAGGAGGCAGGGTCGGTGCCCTCATCTCTTCAGCTTCTCTGCCTTGGGCCTGGAGAGCTGAAAAAGAGCCTTTGCCTCTGCCAAGTCCCAAGCCGGGAAAAGGACGGACAGTGACAGCATCCAACAGCCTCCCCTCTGGAGCCCTCTGCATCCAGCGAGGTCCGCGCCAGAGGACGCTGCTGTCGGCAAGTGCCACAAATGCCACTCCCCACCCCAAGTTCCTCCAGGCCTCTGCACTCCCACACCCACCCCTCTGCTCTTCCGCCTTGAAGGCAGAATAGATTTTGGAGTGGGACAGACCTGGTTTGGCCTTGACCCTTACAGTCTGTATCACTTGGTCCGACGGGGTCATCCCTGGGCCTTGGTCTCCTCATCTGTAGAATGGAGGAAATAATTGCTGACTCAGAGTGGGTTCACGCAGAGAGTTGAGGACTCAGAGCAGAAGCTGTGAGCCAAATAAAATCTGTAGGGATCCAAATCCTGGCATTTGAAGTCCTTGCTATATGGCCAGGGGCAAATCACTGCACGTTCTGACCCTTACTTTCATCTAGGAGCAGGGGACCTAGTCTGAATTTGCAGGGTTTTTTTGGGAATCAGAATGGGATGATGCCCTAAACGTGCTGACCATAGCACCCAGCGTATTGTAGTGGCTCAAGAAATGGCAGCTGTTAGAATTCCTAAGGCCCACCTGCAGGATCCATATGGTTGGAGCTTTCCAAGCAGGCAACTGGGACACCTTGTCCAGGAGACCGCCTGTCCCTCCTTTGGTTCTCTCCACCTATGGCTCCCGCACAGTCCTGTTCTCTACCCCTAGCTGTATCCACTGGCCGCCAGCTCTTTTCCCTTCCAATACAGGTAGAGTTTTCAGCATCAGTTAATCTGGGAGAGGAAGGGGGAGGTCATTTGTTTTTAGGATGATTTGATTGCAAGACACAGGATTTTATTTTAACCCTAAACTCAAACAGGATGATAAGACAGCTGTGATTAGCCAGTTATCTGCTGAGCTTCTCCGTACTTGGGTCTTTGCTTCCTTGTGATTAGATTTGAGTTCCATAAATTAAATGATGCCTGGTGCTGCTTTCCAGTCATTAGGGGAGGCATTGCTATAGGCAACACAATCCGCACTGACACTTTCTCCTCCTCCCAACCCCAGTCCTGCAGAACTCCCTGAGATTTGGCTGATGTTTTTCCAGTAATTATTTCCAAAGGGAAATGTCTAGGAATTCAAGGGGAGGCGTGTCTATGCTGCAAATCACTGAGACTTCTCCTTTTTTCATTTAGCAAGTGCCTTGGGCCCTGTGGGACACAGGTAGATTCCAGCTCTTGAAGAGCCCTCAGTTGTAGAAGTGTTTATCGGGAGAACAGGGATGCAAGCACATAAGTAATTAATTGGCAAACACTGTGGTCAGTAGAAAGAGGTTAACACAGGTGCTATTCAGAGAGATGGGGAGAGGTGTAAATAAACTTCTAGCAACTTGACCAACATCATCTTCCATCTTTATTCGCTTAGATTTTATCTGATTTATTTTTAAAGATTGCTTTAATTATTTCGAAAGAGCAAATAGAAAGAGAGGAGAGACAGATCCTCCATCCACTGGTTCACTCCCCAAATGGCTGCAAGGGCCAGTGCTTCCCAGGACAAAACCAGGAGCCAGGAACTCCCTCTGGATCTCCCACGTGGGTGGCACTGCTTTCCTGGGCACATTAGCAGGGAGCCATATCAGAGCAGAGCATCCAGGACTCGAACCAAGCCCTCTGATATGGGATGCTGGCATCACATGAAGTGGCTTAACCTGCTGCACCACAATGCCAGCCCTTACTGAGATTTTAAGAATACATTCACTTGAACAACCTCCTTGGATCATCCAGTGACCCCAAGGAATAGATAAGTCTCATGGTCAGCTGTTACATGGCTTGCTCATGTAACATTTAATAAATCTTCCATTCTGGTGGCACTGGCGCCTCATTATCTGACTTTTAAGGACCACTGCTCTCCACTTTCAGGCCGTGTTATTTTCGTGGGGTTCCTCCTACTCTACCCACTTCCCAGGGGTGACCATGTGACTCCCACCTGATTATGTCAGGGGGATTGATGCTCCCTTGCCAAAGTAGCTAGTGTAGTGGTGGACGTGTGGGCCACACCAAAGCATTCAGAAGAAACTTCAGACTTTAGCAAGAAAGAGCTTCTCTCCCAACCATCCTTTACTGAAATCTTACTGAATTGCTAAAAGGGGGAAATATAAGGCTGTCGTAGTGTCCATCTTCACCATAACAAGGAACCTGTTGCTTCCAGTTGTTGCAAACTAAACAAAATCGGAGGATATGGAATTCTGAAGATGTATTCACCCCAAAGCCCAGTGTCCCCCAACCCCCTGTAATAATAAAAGCCCCCAAGTTTTAGTTGCGCTCTTGGTCAGAAACTACATTTCCCAAACTCCCTTGCAGCAACCAACCAATGAACCATAAGTACTTCCCAGTCACTTCCTTAAAAGAACTTGCCTGTGTTAAACTGTCTTCCTCCTCATAGGGAAGAGGTAAGTTATCAGTCACATGGGAGGTTGAGACATTTCTGGAGGGTACCGTGTAGGGGTAAAGAAGGCCCAAGTGCCAGGATTTAACCCTGGAGAGGGGAACGTGGACGAGCAGGATAGAAGAAACCTTTCTTGGATGACCCATGAGGCAGAGCTGCCTAGCAGCCTTGGACCAGCTGCGTACTTCTGGGCTGTGATGTGAGAAAGAAAGAGCCTTCTCTCCTGTTTGAGCAACTGCTTTGGAGACCTCTGCCTTAGTGTTTTCAGCATTTGATCCTGGGAGTCTGACCATGCCTGCAAATTTTGAGGTGTATGAAGACAGTGTAGAACTAAAATCTGGGAAATACTCTGCTAAGCTGGGAGGGAGAGGTCAGACTTAAAAGAATTCTAAGGTCCTTATTTGAGGAGAGTAGTGATATTAACTTATTTTTTAAAGACTTATTTGTATTTATTTGAAAGGCAGAGTTACAGAGAGGCAGAGACAGAAAGACAAAAGAGATTTTCCATCTGCTGGTTCACTCCCCAAATGGCCGCGATGGCCAGAGCTGAGCTGATCAAAAGCCAGGAGCCAGGAGCTTCTTCTGGGTCTCCCATGTGGGTACAGGGGCCCAAGCATTTGGTCCATCCTCTACTGCCTTCCCAGGCCATAGCAGAGAGCTGGATCAGAAGTGGAGCAGCCAGGACTCAAACCGGCACCCAGTTGGGCCCACAGCACCAGCCCCCAGATCTTAACTTATTAACCTAAAATGTCACATGGAAATATAAGTGGTGTTACAAATTATATATATATATATTTTATATATAAATAAAATTTATAAAAATAGTTATTGAGGCTAGAAGTCAACAAAGAAAAAATGTGATCAGACTGACATTGTGGCACAGCAGGTTAAGTGGCTGCCTGAAATACCGCATCCCATACCAGAGCACTGGCTGGAATCCTGACTGCTCTGCTTCCAATCCAGTTCCCT